TTATAACCTTCAGATAATATTTGCAGTAAAGAGAGATTCATAATATTATAGGAATCGATAAAAGATAGTGAGACAATAACTGTGATGGAAGGAAAAATTATTTCATATTATAATAGATGTTCAAATTATAATATAATAAATATTAAAGAATACTAAACGTTCATAAACAATTCATAAAAACCCGGATTAAAAAATGTGCAGAAGTCAATGGAAATAATTTTGATCTTCGATTTCTAAACGTTTTAGGTTTAATTTATTCGCATTTAAGGTCACGCAAAATTCATATTACTATAGATCAATGGATTCGTCTCGATCTTAGCTATCACAATATAATAATAGAAATATGTAATCGCATTAAAAAGAACACCGATGACCTTGAAATATCGAAAAATATGACCTTCAAGAGAAAACTATTTTCATCGAAATATGTGTCCCTCCGAACCATAAAATTTGTTCGTCTAGCATTTTTGAGTATCGTTAATGATAACGGAGATATTGCTTTAGTTAATCACCGTGTATACGTAGCCACTAATTGAAACATTTTTCATAACGAAATAATTTCTTCTTCATTGGTCATTTAATCACAGTCGTTGCTTCACTTTGATCTATTATCTACTACAAATATTCTTTTTACTCAAATCCATCTATATATCATGGTATTATATATTATATAATATTTTTTAATATAATTCTTTTTACTCAAATCCATCTAAATATCACGGTATTATATATTATATAATTCTAGTAATTTAGATATACTTAATTTATATATTAATTTAATTTAGAATTTATTTATAATATTAATTTTACGACTAATTTATATTTAATGTATATGTTATAAATTACTAAATCCATTTTGGTTTTAGTTGGCCTAGTTTGACAAAAGAAAAATATCACATTTAAACAAACTCTAATGACCTCAAAATTTCGAGGAAAATTATTCTCAGAAAATTTTGTTTGCCGAACGTTATAAGTTTTCCCCCCTCGAACCAAATATTTTCACTATTTGACATTTCTCCAACAATAAAAACTAAGCGAGATATTCAAAATGCCCCAATGTACGAATAATGTGCGCGTCATAAAAGTTTGAAGATCGGAGCCCTCTATATCGGGATTATATGCTTCCATCGAAGAAATAAATTCACTAGAGGCGAATAAAACAGCGATATTTGCCATTCCCTGCGAGGAAGCCCTCATTAGAAGGATCGGTCACAATTCAAAGGCGTCTCGATCTAGAAGACCCGCCCGTAAGCCCCCTTAATGACCAATCACGGTAATGGCGCATAAGGAGACACTCCGGCGGCAGAGAGATAAAAGTTAAAAAGGCTTATAACCACTGTCACAATGCCGCCTCTCCGCTTTCAGCGGTCGACAGAACCGTGAAAAATAAATCGACGTTCAAGGGTCGATAAATCGACACTCGCCGGATCAAAGGGTTGAATGGGCTCGCGGGCAAGAAAAGCCTGTCCAACGGTAAAATAATTCTCTTCGGGCTGGACGTCCGAGTCGAAATTCATTGAAACGCGTGGAAATTTTAACGCTGGCTTATCGCGCCACGCGGCCGCGCCAACGCGACGCGCGCGATTGCAAAAAATGATCGAAGCGTTGAAATTAAATTTGATCGAGACGATCGATCCGCCGACAGCCGTAAGATAACATTCGTTTAGTTTCCGTTGTTATCACAGTTGTTATTTCGGTACAATGTACAGGAAAACGATTCCGCGATTATGCAAATCCGTGACGTGCTCGCGGAAGGAATTGTTCGTTTGTGAAGCCGGGAACGTCGCGAGTTCCGTTTGCTTTTCCGAAACGTCTGTATTTTCACTTTCTTGCGTTTGGCTAAGAGATTTTTACTTTCATAAAACACGGTCCAGCGTTATATTGAAGTTTTCGTTTCAATCTCGTGCTTCTTTTAGTTGGAGGATCTGCAAACAGCCCCAATTGCTCGGCGAAATTTATCTTTCCCGTATGCTTTTTAGGAGAACATTTTCTGCTTCGATGCTTTTATCTGCGCATACCCTCCTCTGAATTCATTTGCTCGATCGCAGATACCATTCTCGTACACTTCATCAAGTTTTGTCGCAGGGGTTACTGCGACGGTTTATATAAAATAATCCGAGAGAGTTTTTTTGGTTTTTATATAACGAGAACTTTAATATAACTTGTAACAAAAAGGCGATGGGGTACAGTGTGTAAAAGGTAAAGGTAAACGAGTGACGGATGAGACAGAAATATGAACACGTCGAGAGTCGGAGGAAAACTTGCTAACTGACTTCTCCCGGTCGAGAGGTCCTCGTATTTATTGGGGAGAGCGCATTGAAATTGGTAAGGGAAAGTCCTTGGGAAGGGCGAAGGCCTTTCCCGAAGATTTTCCGACCGGGGTGATCCGGGACCTATGGTCCGAAGCTGTGTCCCAACGTTTTTATTATTATTTTATTGTTATAAAAGGCATCTGTACACCCCGCTTTTGGAGGACGTGTCTTTTTATATATATGTCTGGTCCGCCACAAAGTTCTTCTTTCGGAAGTTCTCTGGCAACACTTTCCCTCTGCTATCTGCCGAATCTTAATTACACTTAACCCTAGAAAGATAACCATATGACAACGTACGTAAAAGATAACCATACGCTTCAGAGGCGCATGCTTTTCTAAGGCGTCAATTTTATACTAACAATGGATATTTATTTAAGTTAATCTAGTCATTTTAAAGGTTTGGCATTATTGTAAAAATAAAATGCATTTATATTATATTTTTTTATATTTTAAGTAATTTTAAACTTAAATCACTAGACCTCTATGAAAAATTAACAAAAATCAACAGTCTTCGCAGGCGCCTCTGCGACGTAGGTTATCTTTCTCGGGTTAAACTTTGAATTGACTCCGGTCATACGTTGCGCGATAAACATTTAAAATGTTCACAGGGTTATTTCTTTGATAGATAACGAGGGAATCAATTGTTCGCGATTACTTGATCGGAGATTACAGACTTTCGCGTCCCTGCATCGTACATTACTTGTTATCCTCTATTAAATTAAAATAGTTGGTGATAATTCAAAAGTTTTTTTTTTATCGAGATAGCTTTTACGACTTGGCGAGCTTGAAACAACGAAAATTAACGAATCAGATAACTTGGATCTTGATAGACGTACTCGGTGCATGTCTTGTTATCATGCGAACGAGTAAAAAACACCATTTTTGGTGTCAGATGATTAAAAAGGTTTGAGTCATTTTCGCTGATAGTAATTTTTATAATTTTTATTTAAACGCTTTTGTTATATATTCTACCACTGTAACTTCGAAGAAAATTGTCGTCGTTGCTTAAAAAAAATTAGTAAACGTAACTCCGATTATTATTCAATAAACGTATTAAATATGGAATTATAACATTCCAATTATTTATTCGCTGTTTACCTGCGGCTCGTTAACGCGACGCTCCTGTTCAAAAACAATTAGCGATCAGTCCAAATTGAGTGTGAGTTTTTTAATTGTAGTCCACTGCGGATAAAAGGTTACTCGTCACTGCTCAACCCCGTTCTTCTAAAAAAAATTTACTTTATGAAAATATACCCCTTTCATTAAACTTGGGGAATGCTTTAATCCTTTGTCATACTTTGACGAGTCTGACACGTGATGGAGATTTCTAGTAATAACTTGTTAAAATATGAATATTATTCCGTTCTCTTCAGTCCGTAGAAAATTCTGATTTCTCGTCATCAATCTATACACATTTAAGCAAATGTAGTAACATGATAACCATAAATTATCTGTTTTCTTCTTTGAAATTATTTCGGCAATTTTTAGGAAATTATTTCGGCCAAAATATTTAAATTATCTTTTTTCTTCTTAGAAATTCTAATTTCTCGTCATCAATCTATACACATTTAAGCAAATGTAGTAACATGATAACCATAAATTATCTGTTTTCTTCTTTGAAATTATTTCGGCCAAAATATTTAAATTATCTTTTTTCTTCTTAGAAATTCTGATTTCTCGTCATCAATCTATACACATTTAAGCAAATGTAGTAACATGATAACCATAAATTATCTGTTTTCTTCTTTGAAATTATTTCGGCGATTTTTAGGAAATTATTTCGGTCAAAATATATAAATTATCTTTTTTCTTCTTAGAAATTCTGATTTCTCGTCATCAGTCTATAAACATTTAAGTAAATATAGAAACACGACAAACATAAATTATCTTTTCCTTCTTTGAAATTATTTCGGCGACTTTAGGAAATTACTTCGGCCAAAATATATAAATTATCTTTTCTCTTCTTAGAAATTATTGCACTCGAAAGACGTTCAATCATCGTAACTATGAAGAAAATGGTACGGCACGAGGTTAATACCGTCTAAAATTAAAAAGTCTTCGTCTCATTGTGACTTCGATGTTGCAAATATAACATGATGCAAGCGTTTCCGTCACGAAAATTCGAAGCATTTTTCCGAGCACGAGTCGCCGATCGCGGACGCGCGATTTCAAATATCCGCATCGAGCGTCGGAGGATCCGTTCCAAGTACATACCATTTAAAGAAACAAGGAGGACATTTTGGAATTAGAAATAGCATAGCTCGACAAAGAGAAATCAGTCTAACGAAACTTTCAAGCGGCGCGGCGTTCGAAGCGAAAATGCCATTATTACTTCGCCAGCCCGAAACTATGTTTCTCATTACCCCTCGCGGCGAAACTGTTGAGAAACACAGCATGCCACAAAGGCGTCGCGAACGAGGGATAGGTGAAGGTAGGGAGGGAGAGCCGAAAGCACGGTTTAGAGCAGGACTTCCCGATAATTTGTTACCCAAATAGAGCAACTATTTCGTTCGTGCACACGGAAGGCATCCCCGCGAGGCCTCGAAGTCCGCATGATAATCCTTTACGGCGCTGTCAAAACTTTATAGGGCGTCGCTTTTGAAAAATGGCTCTTTAAGGATGCGCGACGGGAACTATCAAGTGCCAGCGGTACCGATCAATCACCAGATAATTTTATTGATTACAGCTGGCGCGAGGGACGGCGGCGGAAGAAGATACCCGGTGATCGTGTTCGTGCACGGGGAGAGCTACGAATGGAGCAGCGGCAACCCCTACGACGGCAGCGTGTTGGCGAGCTACGGGGGTGTCGTCGTCGTCACCATTAATTACAGACTCGGCATTTTGGGTGAGTAATTTCGCGTTTCGGCCGGCTTTCGATTGGTCAAACCGTACACCGTTTGGAATCGCGCTCCTACCATCTATAATTTACAATCTTCTCTCCGTACGTTGATTGTCATCTTTTGAACCTGTTATAATACGTTAACGAAACTGAATCTGGTAAATCAGAATTTATCTCATTCAGAAGTCTGTATAATGTATATGTATATAAAATATATATATATTATACTATTATATATTGTACTATTATATATATATACAATGTATAGTACAATGTATCCTATATATCATATAAATATTTAATGGTTATTATTATTTCATATACGTATGTAATAGTATACAGGTATTGAATATGTAATATAATACCATATGAATATTGAATAGTTATTGTTATTACATATATATATGTAATATAGAGTAAAAAAAAATTACCTAGCTTTATTTTAAAATTTACATATATATATATATATTATATATATATAATTTATTAATTATAATGGTAATTTTTATATTATATATATATAGTAATTTTTTTTATTCTATATTTATTCTATATTAATATTATTATTTTTATTCTATATAGAATAAATATAGAATAAAAAAAAATTACTTAGCTTCATTTAAAAATATGTATGTAATAAAAATAACCATTCAATATTTATATGGTATATAGGATACATTGTACTATTATTATATATATCATTATATTTTTAAATGGAGCTAGGTAATTTTAACATCATAGTGTTATCGGCGACGTCGGGACGAATTCGACGATTAGCTACATGACGACATTTTTTATGCCATTGAAGGAAAAATTGTCATGAATCGATTGCCATAATATTTGGTTTTATATAAATTTTTCTGTTGCTTTAAGGTCTGAAATTGTATAAATGAGCATCTGTAATTTTTACGTTGATTTGTTTATGTCTACATGCGAGAGCTTGGTGTTATTTATCGCCGAATTATTTCAAATATTGTTGCAATCGATTCTCGACAATCTCCTCTTCGATATCACCTGAAGATCTTCAATTAGCAGGTCATTGAATTCGTCTCAATGTCACCTATAATACTACGAAGTTAAAATTGTCTGGTTATATTCAAAAATATAACGATGACCTTGTTTCTTTATCGAAAATCAATTTGTTCTTTAATCTAAACAATTGAAATTCCTTGTCGGTTAAATACTGATTAACTTTGATAGGAAACATTTTCTTGTCAGACCATCGAGAGGGTCTGAAAAATCGTGGGGACTAATTTCTGTAATTGTTTACGGTAATGTCTCCCTAATTGACGCTCTGATTGTCCACAAAAATGGACAATTTGGGAAGAGGAGTCTTGCGACTCGTTTTTATAGTTACCAATTTTCAACAATTATAAAAACGAGCCGCAAGGCTCGTATAATCGTATCTCCTCTTCCCAAATTGTCCATTTTTATGGACAATCAGAGCGTCAATTAGGAAGACATCACTGTATCTATACATTTCTACCAGAATATATTTGATACCTGTTTCACGGCCAACGAAAAATTCTGAAGCATTCTCTCAATCGAAAATCAAATGCTACTTAAGAATAGATACGCGATACGATTGTCATAACTGTGGCCCCGGAGAGCAGGCTCGAAGCACCGGCTTTAAGGAAATTGTTATTTCACCTAGCTAATTTAGTTAAACGAGATCACGGAAAGAGATCCCCGCCTCGCTAGGAAGGAGATAATCAATGGGTTACCGTCCGCCGGCTTACATATCAGCGAGTTCCATCAGGACTCAATCAAGAAATTCCTCGGCCGACGATGAACAGCGGCAATTACCCCCACAAAGAAGGGAGGAAAACCGTCTCTGATTACGACCCCCGTCGAAGAAAATCTGGTTTCCACCCTACCCCACGGGCAACAGACAATATCCTGGGAAAAGGGATCTTAATTTCGATCCCTTGACACGAACGCGCGGGCGCGAGAGTTGAACTTCGTCGCCCAGTTTCTGGAAATTCGGCTCACCCAGCCGGGAACGAGACACAGAAGCTGATCGTTAGCGCTTCGAACGGTGCCTTAATTACGTGCGTAGAGAATTTGATGTCGGGTCGGGTGCGAAGGCAGCTCTACAACAACCCCTTCCACCGACGAGGCGAGCATAGTCATTAGCATGGCGACTGCGTGTATCCCTACCGAGCCAGGTGAAACTATGCAGTTGCCCGTTTCGCGTTAGTTCGCTTCCATCGCGATAAAGAATAACATCCGAGCCGTTGGACCACCGCCAGCGGAATTATTCGTTTAACCAAGTGTTTCCCGCCAGAGCCGCAGGGAGACCAAACCGCTTCGGGCGTTCAACTTTAATGTGATTTCTATGAATCGGCTCGAGGGTGAAGCCACGGTTCCGCAACGACTCTCTGAAAGAAAATATTGGATTTTCCTGTGTACTTGTTACCAGAGTTCGAAAAGTCTTTGATCGCTATCGTCGGGAACAACGAGCGCAATTATGCCACTGGAAAATCCGTAGCTCTTACGCGAGGAAAAATAATGACTCGTTTCATAATTTATTTTATTTATTCTTATTATATTATATGATGTATATTGTGAAAATATTAAATTTATATATTATAATATAATTATATAAATATAGTAAAAATAAATAAAATAAGTTATAAA